CTGCCAATCAAAGAGACCCCTTCTCGGACTGACAGTTAAATGCTTGCTGGTGACCACCTGAGTCTACGTGTGAGTGGAACTGGGGGAGTGTGGCACTGAAGATGCGACTGAGGTTGGACGTGTCCTGTTGGCACCCGCTGACCTTGAAAGGAGAGGACAGGGAAAGCTGGCTGGTCTGAAGTTCAGGGAGTTGTGTGAACTCCTGAGCCCGTCTCTCTTTCTTCCTGGTTTGTCTTTGTCTGGAAGCTCATGTGAAACCTGTCCACCATGGGTGACCCTGCTGGTATTTACAACACCTGCGGCCCAGCTTCCAGAATCACAGCACCACACAAGCCCCCACAGTATGACACGCTGACAGACGAGTGGTGGGGAACCCTGGGTAGGATGATCTAATATGAATCCATCTCCTCCAGGGCCGGTGAGAGAAGTTTGTGCGTTGTGTTTCCTACCCAGAGGCTACGAGCCCGACTGCTGACGGGCCTAAAGCCAAACATGGGAAGAGGGCTGAGGGGGTCTCACCCAGGTAGCAGGGGGAGAGGGCTGAGGAGGTCTCACCCAGGAAGCAGGGGGAGAGGGCTGAGGGGGTCTCACCCAGGAAGCAGGGGAGAGGGCTGAGGGGGTCTCACCCAGGAAGCAGGAGAGGACTGAGGGGATCTCATCCAGGAAGCAGGGGGTGGTGGGGGTCTCACCCAGTGAGGGCTGCACGTGACCCTTCTTTGGCTAGTCTGGTCGGCATGGGGGGAGTGGGGAGGGCTGGTTTTCGTCAGGCCGGCAGCCGACTCTGAGCCCACCCTTCCCCAGCACTTTACTGAAGGTGCTGGGACTTTCCAACTTAGAGGGGTGGGGGCTCCAGGGTGTGAGAAATGAAGTAAGTATCCCAAGGAGCAGACACAGAGACATGCTAGGGACTGTCTGGGGGATAAATAAGTGTCTTTATTCAGTTCATTCATTCTTGGGGTCAGTCACAAACAACAGGGGCCAGAGACAAGTCTCATCCAGTCTCCACCCCCCTCCCCCACCCCTACAGCAATGCAGGGACAAGGCACCTTGTGTGGAAGCCGTAGGCTTCAAACACTTTTAAGGGCACAACTTTTCAAACCAGAAATCACACTTACTAAAACAAGCAGTTAGGCAGTGTGCCCAAGGACACTTTGGGCACCTCCACAGACCCTCAGGGTTCCTTGAACAGTCTAAAACACCTGCTTGAGGTGAGTCCTCCAGCCAATCAGCTGAAACCTTCCAGAGACGTGGCTACTGCTACTTGAGCGTGCGCACCAAGCTCTCACATGACCATCTCTACCCGTCTGAGAACCGAGGGGAGTCGGCACTTATTAAAGCCACCATGGCTCATCCAAGTGTCCACCACACTTTGCCAAGTTCTGAAGTAGCCACAAGGACAGCTCTGGGGCAGCCACAGCAGCAAGTGCTTGTCCAGTACTAAAGCAAAGAAGCTGGCAGCTGGTGACCGGCCGCCCTTGGCCAGGCAGCCACGTGCCATGTGCCCGGCACCAAGCAGCGGCAGCGGGGGCTGTGCTGACACTTCCCCCCACCTTCTGTCCACACACGGCACTGCACTTCAAGCTGGACACCCCCGTGGCCTTCTCCTGGGGCCGGATCTCACCAACCATCGATGCCCCCGCAATCATGTAATTCCCCACCGAGGAGTCCAGTTGGAGGTGGAGGCGGGGAGGCCACCTAGAGAGCAGTCACCCCTCAGGAGGCCCCACGGGGTCCAGAGGCGGGGTCAGGGAAGGGCCAGACCCTGCACACAGTGAGCTGGAACCCGTCTGGGGGCCTTGAGGTGACCCAAGGAGGATTCCTCAGCTCTGAGTGAACATACACACCAGGTCCCTGGGCACTTTGTCCTGACAGAGGAAAACATGTGAACACACAGTCCTCTCCCACCACCTTCATTACACAGACAGACCAGCGCCCTGAGTAGGAAAGCTACAATCTCAGACTAGAAGACAACCCTGCCAGCTGACCAAACGTGACTGAACGATTCATCACGCTGTCCTTGCCCCTGCACCCCAGCCCTGCCCAGGACAGAACAACGCACTGTCCTGCGGGCGTGTCATGGTCTCAATGCACATGTGAGCGCAGGGGCAGCACTCCGTGTGACAGAAAGACGGCCTGGGTACAAAGTGCACCCTCACCCTCAGCTCCAGGGATAAGGGCACTCTCAGTCCTGGTAAGGTGCCCGTCACCAGTGTACACGGGACAAGGCTGAGCCACCCGCAGTGGCCGCCACACTATGACACATGTGTCCCCTTGCATAGTCCTATGCTGACTCTAGATTCCTCCTTCCTCGGGAACCTTTGATCTGAAGAATCAATTCATGGAGGGAAAAGAAACTCGAAATGAAGACATTTACGCCTGATGCCAGACACAGCTTCAACAGCGCTGCGTCCTACTCTGAGAAGCCCATTTCCAGGGAGCTCTCCACGTCAACACGCAGCTCCCACCACAAGTCTGGCTGCCCAAGACCCTCCTGCTCAGCCGGGCAGGGTACAAGGAATCCAATACACACACCAGCCACCAGAGAAGGCCCTGAGTGTGTCAGGCACCGACCAAGGGGCTTGGGGGAACCCAAAGCAGACTTCCCAGAACCACCCCTAGCAGGCCCTCGGTACAGCGTCCTGTGGCCAGTAGGCACCCCAGGGAGGCAGCACCAGAGTGGGCAGGACCGTGTGAGGAAGCTCGGCCCCTCCCACTCCACATCATGCTGCCCATCAAGGGCTCTGCTGGACGGGGCTGCTCTCCCTCTTCTGATGCCCACCTATGTCAACAGCAGTGTCACAACCAGAGCTAAGCCATGCCAAGATCTCGCTCCCACAGGAGGCTGAACCTCAGCTGCTAGAAGCAGGAAAGCAGGCCACTTCTGTCCGAGCTCAGAGGAAGTTGTGCACCAAGGGCAGAGGTCCTCAGCTCCCCGTCCTCCCACCAGCGCCCAGACCTCTACAGCCATCCCTCCGGGAGACCATGGAGTCACTGCTGAACAGCAAACACCAGCCCTGCACTGCATGTCCCCAGGCCCAGCGAGTGCCACACCGGCACAGCAGGAGGAGGCCTGGTCCCCTGTGGAGAGCGCACCTGGAGAGCCCAGCCAGGAGCTCAGGGTTGGGAGGAGCTTGAGAAGGTGAACTCACCACCACCTGCTCACACCTCCCAGTGGCCCCCCTCCACCTATCCCAGTCCTCTGTCTCCAGGCCCCCGGAGCATCACCGCAATGCCCCACCCCTCTCCACCCTAAGGGCTCTCACTCAGTATAGCCCATGACCCTCCTGGGTCTAAGTCCAGCTAATCTTGGTCCGGATTCCCTCAGGGGTGCCACCCACCCTCACCCCAAGCCCCTCAGGGGCCCATGTACCCTAATCCCCATCCCTTCAGGGGCACCACACACCCCAATCCCAAATCTCCCACCTGAGCCCGACCTCCAGACCCCTCAGGAATGCCACAGGGCCTGATCCCTGGTGGTCACAGGGATACCACAGAGCTGATCCCCAGTCCCCACAGGGGTGCCACACAGCCATCCCCTCAGGGGTAACATATACCCCAATCTCCAGCCTTCTCAGAGGCACCACAGCCTAATCCCTACACTCTTCTGGAAATCCAGACAAAATCACCCAGGTCCCTCAGAAATTCACAAGCTGACTTCACGCCCTCAAAGGCAAGCCACGGTTACACAATTGTCACAGCAAGTCACTCACTGATCTCCCCAGGGCACCCAGACCTTCACATGCAGATCTGAAGGTCAGTCCAGGCACCCCCGCAGAGCCGTTTATGACGTGTGTGTGTGTGAGGGGTCAGAGGGCAGAATTGCAGCCTGAATGTCAGGAGGGAAGGGGCTGTGCAGCTGTCGTCACCTGTGTGACCAGGTCACACACAAGACACACCGCTGAATTCTTCTCAGAACACAAGTCTACACAGAGATTTGAAGCAGACTCTGTTCTAGATGCTTCTAAAGCCTGAGGAGCACTGAGTGGGCCTCAGGGGCTGGAAACTATGAGATCACATGGGGAGAGCTCAGAATCTCCCTGCCATCCTCCCCACACCCCCCGCTGGTGACACCTGGCCTCACAGCTCAGGGGTGACAGCAAGCACTTTATCTAGTGCCCCCCAAGCCAGAGACATCCTGGCCAAGCCTCAATGCTGTGAGCAGATACCGATACACCGAGGTCTAAACAGGTGAACTACAATCAATCTGTCCCCAGAATACCATGCCACAGGGATGAGGGACCAGGGATGGCGGATGGAAACTGGCGCTCAGTGGGTCTGGGCCCAGAAGACAGCAGGCAGGGGGGCTTCGCCTCAGAACTGGCAGTGAGTGCTGTGGGGATGGTCCTTGGTCTAGTTCCTGACCTGTCCAGTGTGGGCCTCACGCCTGAAAGCTCCCTACGACAGAGGACAGAGGCCGGGAGAGCTGTGGAACAGGTACACACGGGGCGTCTATAGCACGACCTCGACAGAGCGTGCATTTGAGACACGTCAGCAGAGACAGCGGGGTCAGCCGGTGCAGCCAAGAAGCCATCCTGAAGGAAGATAATCAAGTCGACAGCCCACCACGAGAAGAAAATGCTGATGTAGCCAGAGGGTATGAATGACACTGGCTACCTGTCACTGAGTCCAGCAACCGGGTTAGCAGCTCTGCCCATCCCTGGACACTGGTCACCAAGAGGTCAGTGAGCAGACGTTCCTGCAGCATCTAGCTTTAGTAGTAGCAGTAAACAGAGAAGCACGTTTCTGGAACATGCTCAGTGTCTGCCCTGAAGACTGGGAGCAGGCCTCCCACCTCGGCCGTGCACAGCTGAGCACGGATCTGGGAAAAGCCACAGGAGGAACAGTCATCAAGAAAATTAAGGTTTCATGTGACAGTGAGCACGGACTGCCTGCCACCCCTGCTCATTCCAGGAAGAGGCCCAGGAAGGACAGCTCTGGGGACCAGACACGGGTCGCAGCTCATCACCGTGCCTCCCGCGGCCCTCAGCTCCAGCCTCAGGCTACTCATAAAGCAGGAACTTCGTTATGGGATCCGGCAGAGGCAGCGAGGGGATCAGATGGAGTCGGTGTTTGCCGAGAGCCTGTCTCACAGCCACGCGGCACAGACCTAACAAGGTCCTGGGGACACCTAGAGCATCATGGGAAGAGAAGAGACACAATGAGGGAAATCATCCATCAACTTTTTTTTTTTTTTAATTGTGAATTTTGTGATAGTTTACATGCGAGAACATTACCTTTACATTCACCCTATCGTATATCGTTTCATTGCCATGGTTACAATCCCCTCCATGCATCATCACCCAACCAGAAGGTTGCCTGCAAGCCTGCCCCCCGGTTGTCAACACACAGCCCCTCTCCCTCTCTGTCTAAAGCCCCTAACTGTTCCATCTCTCCACGTCATCGTGTCTGCCTCCATCTCTGGCGTTACTGTTTCTCTGGGTAGGGAGGGTCTCGCTTTCTGCTCTTCTCCCTTGATGGTCTCAAGGACATCCGCTCCTAGACTACAAAGTTAGTCACTCCCCTCCTTGCTATAAAATGTCCACCTTTACATTTCCAACCCTCACACTCAGTCCTGATAACAATTATTCATTATTGTATCACAAGAGACCTATCACTATCTCCTTTCATCGGCCCCACCTAGACAGATAGGATACTACTCACTGGAGAGTCTACCTTCCTCCACGCCCTCTGGATCTAGGTTCCCTCTTGAGAGCTTGTAAGCCAGTCACTTCTTGCCTTTGTAACCCCCCCATTTTGGGTAGCTAATGTCCAAGTTGTCCATCCCTGTCTACTCTATGTACATCCATCAACTTTTAATACCAAAGCGCTGGCTGGGCGGGCCAAGTCCAACTGACAGGCCCGCACAGCCTCTCCCTGCAACTTCCTGTGAGCATAGGAGGGCGGGGCCTGGCCAGGAGGGTCTTTTCAGGGGCAGACGGCATTTAACAACAAATATCCTCCCATTTGGACTGCTCCTCAATGTAAAGAAAACAAAAGTCTCACAACTGGACCAATAAATAACCTCATGACAAATGGAGAAAAGGCTGAAGTTCAATGCTCATGAGGCAGCAGTCTGGGAAGAAGTGATGCACTGAGCAGATGTGCTGGAGAAGATGGCTTCATTACAGTCTTCACGAGCTAGGCGTCAGTCTGAGGACTGAGGGGCACCTCACCCAAGTCATAGTACTTTCAATCACCTCCTATGATGTGTCAGTCGGACAATGTAGAAGGAAGATCATAAACGAATCAGTGCAGTTGAGCTGGGGGTGGAGAATCTTCAAAGTCCCATGGACTGCCAGGAGGACAGACAGACAGACCCGCCTTGGAGAAACTCCAGTCCGAAAGCTCCTCAGAGCTACACTTGAGCAAATGGAGGATCGGTGGGTAGGAGGAAGACCCCCAACGGGTTGCAGGGCACAGAGCAGCATCCGTGAGGACATGCAGGACCAGGTGGGGTTTGGGTCTGTTGTGTATACAGGGTCACTAAGACTAGAAGCGACTCCATAGCACCTAAGAGCAATCACAATGTAAACACTGGGCTTTCACAAACCCTTCTACCAAGTGGATCTGCCTCCAAGAGACTGTACACGACAGAGCAGAACCGTCTCACAGGTTTCCCGGGCTGTACATCTTCACGGAAGCACACTGTCACAAAAGCAGGCAGCCACACCTTTCTCTGTGGCGTGGCTGGTGGGTTTGAACCACAGATCCTTCCATTAGAAGCTGAGGGCTTAACTACTGAGGGCTGAGCCACTAGGGCGCCCGTAACTACGAGCTTTAGTCAACAATACTGCGTGATACAGAATCCTGAAACACATTGTGATACACACCATAGTAAATGGGCATCATGCTGGGAAAACTGGAGTCAGCGAAGAGGAGGAGGACCCCCAACAAGACGGACTAACACAGTGGCAGCAACTGTGAGGACGGCGCAGGACTAGGCAGGGTTTCATTCTGCTGTACACAGGGTCACTGTGAGTCGGAACCGACTGAGTGGCACAAAACCACAACCAATGTCCTCAGCTGACACATACGGAACTTACAAACTTGAGATGATAGTAACAGAGAAACTGGGCGTAGAGGGAGCAACAGCCTGTGGAACCCCCTGGACTCTGCACTGTCCTTCAGAAGACCTATTGTTGTTGCTACGTGCCATTGAGTCAAGTTTCACCTCATAGCAACCCTGAAGGGTCTGAGGAGCGGTTGCTGGGTTTGAACCGCCAACCTTGTGGTTAGTGGTCCAGTGCTTATGCAACAGTGCCACACCAGGGCCCCTTTGTAACCCTAAAACTTCTCTTAAAAAAACAGTCGATCAACTTGACAATATAGAAAGGAAATCTTGTTCCATACAAACAGGCCTAGGGCCACTCACTTCGGGCATCTCTGAAGAGCTGCAGGGCCTCAGGGTCCACCTTCCTGCGGCCCCTCGCCTCAGGGCCCAGAGACTCCCACTTCACCAGGCTCAGGTCGGCCCCGAACTCCACCAGCAGGCTCACAAAGGCTGCCTCACAGCCGTGGCGCAGGACCGCATCCATGACGCAGCCGGGGGAGCCCCGGTAGAAGCCTTGCGTGTTGACGGGGCCATTGCAGTTGAAGTCGGGGTTCGCCCCCGCCTGGAGGAGCAGCTTGAAGCATTGGAGGTTGTGGTATGCTGCGCTGATGTAGAGAGGGCAGACCACCAGGGAGGTGAGGCGTCGGGAGAAAGGGGGCCGGGCCTCAGGGGTCAGCTGATGGTTCACGTCGACATCAGCCCCGTATCTGGAGGGAGAAAGGGGGACGCAGGAATTAGACCTGGCGCTGGACTGATGCACACAGTCCTCAACTGAGCTGTGCTCCTCCCTCCCACCCTGCAGTAACATTAACATGTCAGCCGGGAAGGACCATGATTCGCAGGGGTTTTGCAGTTAAGTGATTTGATAGGATGGGATGTTGTTTGGTGCCATTAAGTCAGTCCCAGCACCCTGAATCCCAACGCAATGCAGATCTAAGTACAGGAGATTCCCAAGTGTGTCTTACAAAAGACAGAGAGAGACATGAGCAGAGATAGAGGGACCTGCTGCCACCAGGAAAGAGGAGCCAAGAGTGGAGTGAGGTCCCTGCGCAGAGATGGTCCAAGACCCAGATCCAGGAAAAGGCTGCTGCTGAGGTCCACAGTGCTGGAGGAGACCAGGATCCTCCCCAGAACTGACGCCTCCCGAACTGCGCGTGTGCACTTCTGGTGGTTAAAGCCACCTGAGAACTCAGACACCTCAGCTAGAATTCCCAGGCCACTCTCTCAAGACTTCCTTCCAACTGTGTCGCACGGCTGTGAGCAGGAACAGACACACTGCCTGAGAAGAGTCCAGAGCGCACTGTCAGAGGGCTGACGACAGGGAGCAGGCGTGTGACACACATGGACACACATGCATCTGCTGTTCTCAAAACACCGACAGGATGTAAGGGACGGGGCGGTGTTATCTTTCATAGACACTGAGGCACAATCTTGGAAGCATGTCAATACTGTACACAGGAAGACAGCGTGAAGTGAAGACGCAATGTCTGGAGACTGAAAACCAGAGGAGAAGCGCGGTGGTGCCTTGTGGGATCCATGACGCTTCCCTCTAACGCAGGAAGCAGTACACATGCAGGTGACGGGGCCCCTGGGCAGCAGGCCTGACAGGAGTCCCGTAGGGTCAGTCCCGTAGGGTCAGCCCCGTAGGGTCAGCCACACAGCTGTCCAACTGTCCTGTTCTCACGCTGGGTAATGAGGGCTGGCGTGTTGGAATCATCCACCTTTCAGTTAGCGCCCGAGTGCATGCAGCAGATGGGGACGGGCGCCAACAGTGAAGAGAGACACCAGCAGACAGAGCTGGCTCAGGGGCGCCCAGTGGCCAAACCTGCGATGGCAGCAGCAGCAGTGAGTGAAGACAACAGATACGAGAGCCCCCCTCCACCACCTCCCCACAAACCTTCCGAGCTGGGGCATTCCCACTGAAAAGACAAACCCAAATGCAGACCCACCAACCCAGACCTGCTCCCAGATCAGTCAATTCCTATAGAAAGAGCGACCTGCAGGAGGAAAAGTAGTCTGAATATCATCAAGCTGTTTGCTTTGGAGACATCAAGGCAAGAAAAGTCAGCCCCTCAGGGAAACTCCCTTCTAGGACGAAAACTCAAAGAGCACCCATGAGCCGTCTGGTGTGCTCCCCAGTGACCCCCAATCTACTCGTGAGTGAAGGGGGGGAAATGCACCAATGAAGACCTGGGCTGAGTATGGCCCCCAGTAACCCCTTGATCTACTCATGAGTGAAAAGGGGCAAATACAGCAAGACCTGAGCCGAGTTGGATCAACTGGCACCCGTTGACCTTGAGAAAAGAGAGAAAAGAGAGAAAAGAGGAAGGGCTGGTTGGTCTGAAGTTTAAGAAGCTGTGTGAACTTCTGAGCCCATGGACAATGACCTAGCACCTGGGCACTAGGGCTGAGAAGGAAGTGGCCAGCTGGTCTGAAGTACAGGGAGGTGTGCATGAACTCCCAAACTTGCAGCTAGCGCCCATGTGACCCAGTTGGGACGGCTGGCTGACCAGAACTCACCCAGATGCAGATAAAGATGCCTGACACTCTGAGCAAGTGCAAACTGCTACAATCTGATGAACCAGACTTTTGTTTAGGGATGCAGTTGCTCAAAATTCCAACTGGAAGGGAAGGATTCTTCTTTTCAAAGAACAAGCTCATTTTCTCAGCGTGCTGTAAGTGCCACAGAGTCAGCTCCGACTCATAGCGACCCTGTGTAGGGTTTCCTAGGAGTGGTTGGTGAGTTTGAACTGCCATCCTCCAAGTCCAGAGCAGTATCGTGCCGCGCCACACCAGGACTCCGTACTGCATTGGCACGGATGAACAACTCCGAGACTGGCTATCACAAATGGGATGACGGGCACAGCAGGGTCAGCACTCAACCTCAAGGTTGGTCTGAACCGCAAGGTAAGCAGCCGCTCCTCAAAAACCCTACGCAGGGTCACTGTGAGTCAGCACCGACTGGTGAGGACATGAAGTGGCGGACATACAAGCTCTCAAGATGGTGCTGCGTTTCAGAATGAGGGAGGGTAGCAGGCCCACTGCTTTCCCTCTTCTCCAGATGGGGCTGCTGATAGGGGGCAGGGAGTGCTGGTGACAGGATTTTTTGCAAGGCTGTGTGCCTGCGGGCAGGAGGCTGGCTGGCAAAATATGCCCATTGGACATTTCAATGAATATATATTGTCTCATACGTATACATAAAAATCTTTTTTTTTTAAATGACTACGACTCACTACTCACCAGAGACAATACAGGAGACCACTGTTGTTGAGTGTCCAGTTGCACCCAGCACAGTGACCCTATATATGGTTTTAGAGGAGCAACAAACAGGTTTGAACTGCCGACCTCGTGGTTAGCAGCCCTGTGCTGAGCCTACAGGTGCCTCACCAGGAAACTGACGTACAGTGTTGTCAAGTCAGTTCTGACTCATAGCAACCTTGTTTAGGGTTTCCAAGGAGTGGCTGGTGGATTCGAACTGCCAACTTTGTGGTTAGTAGTCCACTTCTTATCCTTCAGCACATCACCTGGACTCCCAAGAAACCACTGTTGTTGGCTCTGAACCACTGACCCCATGAATAGTAGCCCAGCATTTTTCCTACAGCACCACCAACAATGTTGTTGTTGTTGTTGTTAGGTGCCATCGAGTCGGTACCAAGCCATAGCGACCTTATGCACAGCAGAACGAAACACTGCCCGATCCTGGGCTAACTTCACTACTGTTGCCACACTTGAGTCCATC